GCTTTGTAGTACAAAGCAGTACTGGGAAGGACTGTGTGCAAGCTTTGTAGTACAAAGTAGTACTGGGATGTGCTTTGTGCAAGCTTTGTAGTACAAAGTAGCTCTGGGAAGTGCTTTGTGCAAGCTTTGTAGTGCAAAGTAGTACTGGGAAGTGCTTTGTGCAAGCTTTGTAGTACAAAGTAGTGCTGGGAAGTAGTTTGTGCAAGCTGTGTAGTACGTAAAGTAGTACTGGGAAGTGCTTTGTGCAAGCTTTGTAGTACAAAGTAGTACTGGGAACGACTTTGTGCAAGCTTTGTAGTGCAAAGTAGTACTGGGAAGTGCTTTGTGCAAGCTTTGCAGTACAAAGTAGTACTGGAACGTGCTTTGTGCAAGCTTTGTAGTACAAAGCAGTGCTGGGAAGTAGTTTGTGCAAGCTTTGTAGTACAAAGTAGTACTGGGAACGACTTTGTGCAAGCTTTGTAGTACAAAGTAGTACTGGGAAGTGCTTTGTGCAAGCTTTGTAGTACAAAGTAGTACTGGGAAGTGCTTTGTGCAAGCTTTGTGGTACAAAGTAGTACTGGGAAGTGCTTGTGCAAGCTTTGTAGTACAAAGTAGTGCTGGGAAGTAGTTTGTGCAAGCTTTGTAGTGCAAAGTAGTACTGGGAAGTGCTTTGTGCAAGCTTTGTAGTACAAAGTAGTACTGGGATGTGCTTTGTGCAAGCTTTGTGGTACAAAGTAGTACTGGGAAGTGCTTGTGCAAGCTTTGTAGTACAAAGTAGTGCTGGGAAGTAGTTTGTGCAAGCTTTGTAGTACAAAGTAGTACTGGGAAGTGCTTTGTGCAAGCTTTGTAGTACAAAGTAGTACTGGGATGTTCTTTGTGCAAGCTTTGTAGTACGTAAAGTAGTACTGGGAAGTGCTTTGTGCGAGCTTTGTAGTACAAAGTATGAAGTGCTTTGCGCAAGCATTGTAGTGCAAAGTAGTACTGGGAAGTGACCCAGAGAATAGAAAAACATTGATGCAGAATCCCAGCTTTGACATGCAGGTTGCACACGAGAATGACATTATAAGAGAGTAGAAAATCAATATTTTCATCCATCGCGTTCCATTGTGTTTCATTTGCTTTTCATGTCTAAAATGCATGGTTACACGTTTATTGAGGACAGCGTTCCATGCAGAAAAGCATTTAGGCATGACTTAGGCATGACTTCTTGGATACAGCGTTTACAATGGTAAATGCCATTCAAAAACATGCTAGGCATGACTTAGGCGTGACATTGTCGCTTCCCTGTACTTGTAGACGACTGTAATGCTGTAGGCAGTGTCACAATAGCTACCGGCACTACCAGTTTAGTATTTGGGAAAGAAGGGAGGAAGGAGTAGAGGAGTAGGCTTGGTGAAGGCCTAAGCGTAGGCGTAGGAGTAAGCGTAGTAGTAGTAGGAGTAGTAGTAGTAGTAGTGGTAGGAGTAGTAGTAGTAGTAGTGGTAGTGGTAGTGGTAGTGGTAGTGGTAGTGGTAGTGGTAGTGGTAGTGGTAGTGGTAGTGGTAGTGAGTGGAGTGGTGGTGGTGGTGGTAGTGGTAGTGGTAGTGGAGTGGTGGTGGTGGTGGTGGTGGTAGTGGTAGTGGTAGTGGTAGTGGTAGTGGTAGTGGTAGTGGTAGTGGTAGTAGTAGTAGTAGTAGTCGTAGAAGTCGTAGTAGTCGTAGTAGTCGTAGTAGTCGTAGTAGTCGTAGTAGTCGTAGTAGTCGTAGTAGTCGCAGTAGTCGTAGTAGTCGTAGTAGTCGCAGTAGTCGCAGTAGTCGTAGTAGTCGTAGTAGTCGTAGTAGTCGTAGTAGTCGTAGTAGTCGTAGTAGTCGCAGTAGTCGCAGTAGTCGCAGTAGTCGTCGTAGTCGCGTAGTCGTCGTAGTCGTCGTAGTCGTTGTAGTCGTCGTAGTCGTCGTAGTCGTCGTCGCCGCCGCCGCCGTCGTCGTCGTGGTAGTAGTAGTAGTAGTAGTAGGAGGAGGAGGAGGAGGAGTAGGGGGGGTGGACTTGATTCAGACGAAGAAAAAATGCGCAGCAAGAGAACAAAGGAACAAGTACAAGCCAAGAACAGAAACAAGAACAGCACCTTCCAATCAGACACGCCGGCAGGCCGGCGGATTGCATATTCTTTCAAGAGAATGAACTGCCCTCATCCAAGAGATTGAACTCGTGTTCAATGTCAGCATGGGGCCATGATCCCTGCAAAAGCATTCGTTTGTGAGAGCAAGAGCGGTGCATTTCCCCCACCTACCCCCAAGGATTGGTTAGACGGAAGATATGCATGGGAAATGAGAACCTGGAGTCTGGAGACATAGATTCTAGATGTAATGTGCACCATCATTCGCTGTTAGCTTCTGCACCTTCCCAAACCCACCAGCTCCAAACTTCTGAGCTGCAGGAAAACACCAAACCTTGCAACATACTGTTTTCAAACATTTAAACGTTTGGCCCCACCTCCCTCCCAATCTTCCAGGCCACATCTCTTTCTGAATGTGAGAGCCTAAAT